GGGCAAATTCCAAAACAGCCGAGTTTCTTTCGTTCTCGGCTGGATTGGGTTTTGGGGGGTTTGGCGAGGTTTGGGCTCGTTTTGGGGGCCTCCCCTTCAAAAGCCTGCCAAACCCTGCAAAATATGGGTTGTAGCGGGAGGACCCCCCCCCAAAAAATAAGCCCAAATAGGCCTTAATAAGGGTTGCTTGGGCCTCTTACAGGCTATCTTCGCCAAGCCGGTGGCGGTGGCGCTGGTGCTGGTGCTGGTGCTGGCGCTGGTCCAAGGTGCGGTGCTTGTGGTGGCGGCGGCGGCGGCGGCGGCGGTGGTGGTGGTGGTGGTGGCGGTGGCGGTGCTGGTGGTGGTGGTGGTGGTGGTGGTGGTGGTGGCGCTGGTGGTGGCGGTGGTGGTGGTGGTGGTGGTGGCGGTGGTGGTGGTGGTGGTGGCGCTGGTGGTGGTGGTGGTGGTGGTGGTGGTGGTGGGGGTGGCGGTGGTGGTGGTGGGGTGGTGGTGTGGCGGTGGTGGTCGTGTGCGGCCCCCCTCCCCTTACAACTCAGCTCCAACTCACTCGCCGCTACTGTTGGCCGTCGACGGCTCAGGCAGTTGTTCACTCTCCTTGGGGTTCATGAGCTTCGCGGCTTTGCCGACCTTGTCGTCCTCAGCGCCCTCGCGGTCACGCTTCATCCGCTGATCCTTGAACTTTTCCACCGCTTCCAAAACTTCCTTGGAGTTGCCGGCCTTCCTGAGTTTGACTACGTGTGCTGCTTGAGATTCCTACTCAATGCACAAGCCACAATCACGGCTCAATTCTGACAATGAAATCCGCAACCCAAGGCTCTCGGAAATGATCTTCAGGATAGAATCGTCAGCGTCCTGAGCCCTGTTCGAGCCCAGCACTGTGTCCACAAAGCGGCTCTTGACTGGGGAGTCTGGCGACGCGGACTCGATTATCAATTTGCCAACTGCCTCATCGCCGTGGGTTTCCGCGCGGCCTGTCACGACGACAAAGTCGTCGCATCCTCCCTTCTTGCTGGCGTTTGGCAGCTTGAAGAACTTGAAAGAACGCGGGCATATGAGAAACTGGGAGTTGTCCAACGTGTGGACGAAAGGCTGCACCTTTTAGTCGTCAGCATTTACAGGTTGACGAGTATAGGGTTTAGGGTTAATCAAGGTTATGATTTTCGGGCTTGAGCAAGCTGCTAGACCCCAGCAACCACAACCACGTTTCCTCGTCGTGCTCCTCCTGAGACTGCGAGGCCTCGCTCGCCCAATCGTCCAAGTCGTCCGCGATAGCCTGTTTTGTGGCTTTGGGGTCCATGTCGGGTTGATTCATGGCGGTCGGTCGACGGTTTGGGTTTTGTGGGCTGCCGTTTTCTAGGCTTCATGTCAAAGGTCGTAGACTGGCACGAAAAAAGATTGAAGGCTTCGCGGAACAACATCTCAAATTGCACTTCCTGCCTTGAGGGAGTCCTTTGATTTCTGTGGTGGAGGCCCTGCAGGAAGCCCTTTCGGGACCGTCGGTGTATTGAGGTTGAGCCCTGCACCTTTCTCCATACGGTACTTATGCGCGACCTCCTCCGCAAGCACTGGGTCGTGCGGCTCACCTCGCCAAAGACACTGTCTCGTTTGGCCATTGATGGCGGCCGAGTAGATCGTCCAAGTCGACCCGCGGTCCAGCTCCACGTCGACCTTCGTGTCTGGGTTCGTGTCCACCAAGTAGTAGACAGCCTCGCCATCTGCCAGGACTGCCTTCTCAAGCACGTAGTGTCCATCGCGACTGGCCTTTGGCGCCTCGGTCTTGGGCTCGCTCTCCTTTTGCTGGGAGAGCCAATCCATCACCTCCTGCGGGAGTGCGGCTGGCGTGTTGCCAGATGCAGCAGGGAGAGTGCGGCTCCACCCGCCGAATTCGAGCGAGCCCTTAGCCTGCGTAGCATTTTGCCATCTCATGAATTTGTGGATCGTCAGAAAGTCCCACTTCGTGTGTTCGGCCGGACGGCCGCGCCGATTGTACTCCCCCTGCAAGCAGCTGACCGCGGCCTCAAGTGTTCGCCTGAGTCGCGAGTCCCGCACACAACCAAAACTGAAGTGCTGCAGCTCTCACGCTCCTACATGTCGGTGTTGTCTGTACACATACATTAAGACACCCACCCCGGCGGAGGATCCGACAACACGTAGCCCGTGCAGAAAGCCAGCGCGGCGAACATGAGCTCGCGACCGGAGTCCTTGCACTGCTTCCGCCCTGTCCAGGACGGATCCATGCCGCTGAGCCAGTCCTCGATGTGGCAGTCCTTGACAGTCTTCAAGAAAACAAAGACTGTGCGTCAGGTAAGTAGGTCTGCGACTAAGTCCCGGTCAATCACACTGTCGATGTCTTTCTGATTGTAGGCTTGCGCCTGTGTGCGACGACCCAGCGAAATCTCTGGGCATCGTTCTGCCCCTGTCTTCTGACTCTGTCTCGTCGTCTTTTTCGGGGCTGGCCACGAAGCCTGAGCCCGGCCACGCTGGGCACTGAGATGCGGGCCCAAGCCCACGACAGCATTCCCAGCATTCTTGTACCTGAATTGAATGTCAGCGCGTTCAAGAGCAGCAGCTTCGCCCATATCACATGCTGCGTAAGAATCTAATCAAGGCACACGATTGGAGGCACTGTGCCCGCTGGATGCATCTTCTCAACTGCTGGCACCGCAACAGCAGTCTCCGGCTGTGGAGTCCGGGCCGATTGCGCCGGCGCCGCCTCTTGACCAGGCCGCGGTGGCACGAGCGCTCGTCGCGGAGGGTCCATGGGGCCAAGGAAGGACGCGAGCACTCGTTGCAGGAGCCTTGCACCAAAGTCTGCGGAGGAGGCAGCAGGCGTATGGTGCATAATTGTGCACTAAGACTTGGACTTCCTTCATGCAAGCCACGACCGCAACATCCTCTCAAGCTCTAGTCTTCTGCTGTTTCTCACGCGAAAAGGAACGCGCTTTGGAATGTGAGCCATCTGGCCGCCTACCCCAACCACTGTCGAGCTGCTGCCCTGGACCTATGGCCAGGAAGCACCTTTTAGCACACCATCGCTTAGACACAACCTCTATATACTGCACTCAATCTGACTTTGTAGAGCATGTTTCTTGGGCAGGCTCAGTGGCACGAAATGACTAGTGCATATCATTCGTGAATTGTGAAATCAGAAAACAGACATCTACTTGTCTTTTGTCCGGAAACAGACAAGGCCGACGAGCTGAAGCACTGACACCGTACCGAAGTGCATGGCATTCCCACACACCGCGGCAGCACGCTTTGCGTCAGCTGTAGGCACAGCTGGCACACCCATTGCGTGAGCAGTAGCATCATCCACTGGAAGGCCCATGCCCGCCAACCGCTCGCGGCTTGTCAGCCACCTGCGGGATTGAAAATGCCACAGAAGCCCGCCTGTCATCCTGACAGTGGGGATGCGACCCGAGGACGCAGACCAACAGCGGCGACTGGGGCTGTCCCCCAGGTGTGCAATCAAGTTCGGGTCATCTCGGGCCCTTCTTTTGTAAGTTCTCTCGTATTCCGCCGCCAGGAGGCTTACAGCCTCTCTCTCCCGTGGGAGCAGAAGTCCGGTCAGGTCGAGATCTTCGTAGGTCGAGGCCTGAGAAGAGTGGTTCAGCTGAGGGCTTGAGTTTATTGTATGGTTTTTCTATATTCTGGGTTTAGGGTTTCGGGTTCATGTTACGGGGATACCGGCTAACTCTTACCGTCACCGCCCTCGTGCTGAAAACACACACTGAATCCGAGTCGCGGGAATCTGCATGCGTCTTCGGAATGCGAGGTCCTCTGCTTCTCTCAATACTTCCTGCCGACCAGCGAGCAAGTAGTCCGAGGGCTGTGTGCGAGCCCACTTTTGCATCGTGGCGGCCACCTTCTGGTAGACTTCCTCAACAGGCCTGACCCTGCACACTCTTTCCTTGTGCCACAAGAAAACGTAGACCCGCGCTCGCCGGGCACCCTGGTGCCCTACATCTCCGCAGTCCACGTACACAGGCTCCATGTCATAGGAGGAGCCGTAGAGGTACTCAATCATCTTCAAGTTGAGCTCCTTACAAAAACGAGCGGCAACCCAGCAACAAGAATGACCTAAAGTATAAATGACACACCAAAGCCCTGTCCTGCACGTTCTCGATCAGGATCACTGGAGTCCTCTTCTCAATGTGGCGCTTCGCGTGGCAAATGAAAACGGGCCCTGTGGGGCCCTCTTCCTTTGCACGTGTCCCAACACGACTGTAGTCCGGGCACGGCAGGCCCGCGGTTTCCCAGTCCGCCGCGGTGCACAGGCCCAGGATCGGGCACTGTCGCTGGTGCGTGCAGCAGAACTGAGTCGTGCACAACGGCGCCTTGGCTATCTTGAATGCCTTGACCACAAAAGGGTCCTGCGGACCCCATGTCTTGGGGGGCACGCATCCTTGCACATCTTCGAAAATGCAAGGCGGGGGATCCAATGTTCCGGTGACTTCGGCTATCCATGCCAGGTGATCACGAATAAGCTGGTGACATCTTGGCGACCATTCCTGAAGCAGGTTCCGGGGCAGGATGCTACCCGTGACAGGCAAAGCATGACATGAGGCAGAGGCCGAGTGCTTCCGAGGTGCATGGCACGAAAGAGTTCTGAACGAAACTGGGAATCTCAAAATCTGACTGTCGTTGATCGTCTTGGAGATAAGAGCGAATGCCATCTCAGCAGTTCCAGCACCTGTACAGGATGTGCTGATGAACTTCGCCGTCGCCAGCATGGAGTCCTGCAGCGCACGGATGATCATGCTCCAAGTCAAGCAAGACACAGCGACATGGCCTGGCCTCCAGATCCGTGGCTGAGAACATCTGGCGTATTACATACCAGGCTACTTGGACGCATCTGGCAGCTCTCGCCAGCTGCGAGCCATCCATTGGCATGTCCTGGCTACAGACTGACAAGTGCAATTCTGTGCCAGATCTCACTTACCCTCGCCCAGGCAGTCTGGAAATCTGTCCTGTAATGGATCAACACTGCACGAGCTTGATCCTGACCGCCGAGTCCCCTGGCTCGCCAGAAGCGATCCTGAACTGCTGTCCGTGTCACCGGCAGGGGTGATCATGGTGAAGTCGGACAGCTGGTCCGGCTCCATGATTCAAGGTTCACAGAGGGCTGCAGGCATGTGGCGTATAGTCCTACCCTGGTAAGTAACGCCAGCTTGTCAAGCTTACACTTGTGCTCTGCCTCACCTGTCACTGTCACTGCGTCGCACGCCTCACTTGAGCCAACTGAGACATGGGAACGCTCCAGACAGACCTGCGCTGACGATGCGATTATGCAATCTGGGGCAGCAGCCAACACAGGTGCATATGCACCTTTCTGCAAATCTGGTGAAAATATCCAAATCAGCTCGGCTCGCGATTTGGCCACATTGGACCCGTCCATGGCAACCTCACCCATGCCATGGAATCTACTGGCAGTGTATCACAACACCTGTGCAAAACCATTCGCGTAGCGCCACGGAAAAGCTTAACTTAGGCCCGGCACGTGCAGTACTCTTCGGCCAGATAGCTCCCGTCTGGCGCGTGCCCAGTAAACAGCCTCGGTGGCTGCTGCGAACATTGCGGCCCCCCTCCCCCTTTTTGGCTGAGATGTTCTGTTAGCTGGAGCACAAGCCAAGCAGCTGTTGCTTTGTGCAAGAAGCTTCGGTAGAAGGTCTGGTCCAAGCCGTTTGCCTGCAAGCGGTTTGTCACAGCAAAGGCGTCACTCCACGAATCGTCCGGGTCTGCGTCGTCCACGGGATCACTCACCTGGGCAATGAGTCTTACTGTGCGGGCCTAGTTAGTTTTTAAATGCAACTGAAACTCACACTGAACACCCCAACCGGCTAATGTCCAGCAAGCTGCGTTTCTGTCACGCTGCGCATCTTTCCAGAAAGATTGTCCCGTGCCCACCATGACTGCAAATGAAGCACGTTTGCTGCCCTTGTAGTTCTTGCGCCGCAGTTCCTGCTTCCAACGCTTCCTGGCCTCACCTGTAGTGAGTTCAATCACGTGCTCGTCCAAATGGACGACAGCGCACGCAAAGACTCTGAGAGCAACTTGTTGCAGCTCATTCGCTGCGTGCGAGAGCCGACGTGAATCTGGATCGAAGCAGAACATCAAGAGCTCACAAACACTGGGGTGTGAAGACACGGTTCTGACATAGGCGCAGCTCGGGGAAACTCGGCGCTGATTCCATTCTGCGTGAAATGTTGCCAGCAACCGTGCTGAGCACAAACGCTCTGCTTCGACAACACCCGTGGCATCGATGTGCAACACTGCCTCGCTGATTGCACCAGCCCGGGGAATGCTAACATACAGCCCACCAGTACAAGCAAACAGTTTCGTGAACAATGCTTTCATGGAGGTGTACGTGTGGAGGCGTTCCTCCATCACGCGATGCGGTGATGACACGCCCCACAAAACGTAGGACATGAGAGTCGACGTTGGCTCTGTGATGCAGTCTGCCCAAAACAGCGGCTCTGGCTCTGCAGTGTTTTGAGCTGCAGACGACGATTGGCTCTGAAACAGACCTGCTCGGGAGTAACCTACCTCCACTTTCGGCAGCCCATGCGGCGGCCACAAGCGCTTGTGCTCATCCTCAGCAGCAGACCGCTTGTCCTGAAATCAGGGCAACTACAGCTTCATCACAGTGCAATACTGGAAATGTTTTTGGCTAGTCTGCTACTGATACTCTGGGCAACGCTGAACTCGGAAGCCTAGGCTCAAGCGCATGTTCTCTGAGTTTTTTGGGTTTCTTCGATCGGAAAATGAGGCTCATGAAGTCGGCCGTGCTCCAATGGCATTGATGCTGGCCACTGTGAATCACGAACAGCGTGATGTTGCCTCTTTCAGGTAGAGACAAGATGCCTCATCGCGTCAGACAGAATCCCTAACACGGCAAAATAAATAGGGGCCTCGTTTCAAAGGTTGAGAAAACCCATTGAGATATTCCACGCAAAGTTGCACTTTGAGAGAGCTGGCTCTTCTGTAGCCATGGCTCGCCCATCAGTCGGCTGGGACAAACACGGTGCTAGTCTGCATGTGCCACGTCGTGCGTCTGGCTCTCTTCACCCGAAGTTCGGGTTCGGGATCAAGGTTCTGGACTTGCGACATCAGAACTTCAGGTACAGCGTCTGGGGTTTAGATTTCTGTTAACTCAGACTCATGTCGACCCAATTGATCCCTTCTGCAGCAGCTGAGCTGCGGTTGGCCGCCGGTCCATCATCTGCACAATTGGATCTCCCAATTAACCCAACAACTTAACTCTGTGTTTTGGAGGGGGGGGTCCTGGAGCGGGGGGTAGTCATACTACCCATGACTGAACCCTGAGAAACCCTGAACCCTGAACCCTGA